ATCTTAGGCTACATTAGTAGAAGAGATATTTGAAGTAAGGAGTGAATATACTTACCACTACTGAACTGTACACTTAAAAATGGTTAAGATGGTAATTTTTATGTTTGTGTTTTTTACCACAATAAAATAAATGAGGTAATTATCTCATTTTACTGTTTATTGTCATTGTGACTCCATTTAGGGTGACTGTGTTTGTGTTACACTTTATGAATGTCAGGGATTTAGGCACACTAGTGAGAGAAATCATGCTGAATGACTGAACTGAGATCAGTTCACACAAAGACTAAAGAAGGAGGGAAGGAATAAAGATGTAATCATACTCTTAAAATATTCAGGGATTATGATTTTAGACAAGAGATTATTCTTACCATGACTTCAAGGAGTAGAATCAGTGGAAGCTTTAAGACTGGTTCTCAAAGTGTGGTCCCAAAATCGGCAGCATCAGCATTACCAAAGAACTTTTAAAAACTGTACGTTATTAGGCCCCCATCCCAGAACCACTAAATAAGAAATTCTAAGGGTGGGGTCCAGTAATCTCTTTGAACAAGCTGTTCAGATGATTCTGTTGCACACTAAAGTTTGAGACCCCCTACTCTCGGAAAACAGATTTCAGTTCAATAAAAACATGAAAATTTAGCAGTGATTCTCAACCTTCACTGTACAACAGAATCACCTGGGAAGATGTAAAAAACAAAACAAACAAGAAACTATGACTGAGAACCAGAGAACCTGGGCATTCGTATGTTTTAAAAACGACCTAGGTGATTTTAATATGCAGCCAGAGTTGAGACCTACCTTAGTGGAAGGTTAGACTAGTATCAGTAGGATGGCTGTTTAAGAGATTTCTTAGGGACCCTACTTAAAAATACAGATTCTTGGACCTCCAGAAGATGTATAGATTTGAGGTAGTGCTAATGAATATTATCTTTGGCCTCCTTTTTTTCCTTTTTTTCCTCAAAACTCTCTTCAGGTTAGCTTAAAACATAGTTAGCTTCATAAGTATTCTAAATGACAAGACCTTTATATTAATCAGTGTCTTGCCAATGGGTTTCAGCCCAAGCAAGTTTGCTATGGATTCAGTGTGACCAAAGAAATTGACCGCAAAACACTCTTTGGGGTGAAAGGGTTTATTACCTGGCTTGTTCTCTGGCAGTAGGTCGAGCACTAGTGTCTCTACCTCCGCCCAGAGCAATGGGCCGAGCCCTTTATATAGCGCAATAATAGCTCATTACCTAAAGGTGTGGAAGCGGTAGCCCAGCAATAGGCCAGTTACATCATCAGGTGGGGATAGGAGCCTGGCCATAGGAACTCCAGCTTCCCCACAATCAGCGTAGTCACCAAATAGACATTGGACAGACATTATGTGTAAAGATCTGAGCCTGTTCTATAGCACAGTGATTCCCAGCATGGTTGATCATAAAATTACTTATAGGATTGGACCACACACACAGATTTTTATTTTGATTCAGCATGTGAGTTTGAAAAGCTGTGGATGTGAATTTGAATTTGGTGTGAATCCTGGTTAAGAAGAATTTTTATGTATTTGTGAAATTTTGAATGTAGATTTAATCATTTGGATTGATTAGGAAAGCATGCTATTTAAAGAAAATTAGGGTAAATCCTTGTTAAGTACATTTTAATGTGTGTCATTTAAAGTAACTCTGATATCATCTTTTGTAATTTCAGATTTCTGCATATTTTAATTTTTGATTCAATGAAGTAAGAACATCAACACATTTGTTATATTACAGCTACAAAGAAAATTTACAATTGACAAGTAATTGTAGGTGTAATTTATTGGATGTATGTAAGGTCAAAGCTCCACTTTTGCATTAGGAACATTGCTTAAGCTTAAGTATAATAGTTCTAAAGGCTTATCATATTCATAGCAAGTTCTAAGCAGAGGCTTTAATATGTAATACCCTCTAGTTTTGATGGATAGGCCTCTTATATTCATTCCTTCCATTTTGTGCTTATTGCCCTTCTTCTGGTTTAAGCCTCATGATCTCTTGCCTGCAACTTATTCCTAATTCACTTGCCTATTTTAAGGCACTTCTTTTCCCTTGTTGAATGCAAAATTAAATTCAAATGCCTTAATGAAGCCAGTTATAATTTGGCCTCATTCCAAACTTTCATTTATTGTCTTTCATACTCTTGCCTGCCCCAAATACCTTTATTCTACTCTTTTTATCTGGATTTATATTATTTTAATGCTTAGTTCAAAACTGTTCTTCTCTAGAAAGCTTTACCCAGACTCCTTAGCAGGAACACACTGTACTGGTGTCTTACAGCACTCGTAACATTTTGATCTTGGGATCATAGTTCTTTCTATACACATCTTATCTCCCTTACTGAATTGTAAATTCTTTGGGATTAGGAATTATTCACTTGCTTTGTCATTTCCAGCATGTGGGGTGGTTAAGTATAGTAAAATGGAAAAAGTCAGGATAAAACAGAGTTTAAGTTCCAGCTCCACTGAAAAACACATGTGACAAGTTATTTTGATTGAACTAAATCCAAATTTCCCAACCTTCAGAATGTGAGAAATGCCATTTACCTTCGAGATTAGTTTTAAAGGGTAAGCTGTTGTCTTACTTGACACACAGGTCTTCAGTAAATGCTCATCCTTTTTCTTTTACCTTTTTCCAAAGTGTCTGCCATAATACTTTGAAACTAACCTCAATAAATATCAAAAAAGCTAAATGTTGCTCAGAGGCATCAAAGGCCTGAACTAGGGTAGTGTTAATGGGGAATGAAAAGGAAGAGATGGATAGGAAACATTATAAAGTAGAATGGGCATGAAGTAGTGATTTACTGGGGAGAAAAATGGCTGAAATTTTGAGCCTGAAATATTATACCATTTAAAGAAAATCAGACCAAGAACTTGAGGAAATGAGTCAAAGGCAGTAAGTCTAGGCAGTACCATTCTAAAGGAAAAGTTATAGGGGCTTCATAGAAATGATCTGGGGAACCAGTAATGAAGGGCTGGGTTAAAATCCTTAGCCTTCGTGTTTCCCAACTTGACTGTCAGTTTCAGACTTTATCAGAAGTGGAATTAAAAGTTGATCTAGAAGAGAAATGAGTACTAAATTTTAGGAATTATTGAAGCTCTAAATCAGTAGTTTTCTTTTGTTTCTTATTATAAAACTTTACCTTTGTGGTAAGTTATATTGTCACCAAATGATAATATTTACTTACTATTAAAAGTTTTAAATGGGAAATACAAGATCTTACCACTATGCTTTGATTGCATTTAGTGATTAATTCTGAAACAAGGAAGTCCTTAAATACATTCTAATTAAACTCTTCTGCCTCGCTGATTTTAGAGTCAAAGTTAGATAAATCGTATTTTTAAACAACCTGAAAAGTAATTCAGAGGGGATACAAGGATATATTTTAACTGTTCGTTAAGTCATTTCTGACATGTAATTAGAAAATTAGTTATTCTTATCTTGAACATGCAATTTTTAACATAAGCCTTTTTAGTCCACACAGTGGTATTAAACTTAGTTGAAGATAATCCAACATTACTTTTAAAATAAATACCTTCTAGGGTTTTTAAATAGTCCTGCACACAATTTTTTCAAAAATTAAAAGAAGATGATTGTTCAGAGAAAAGAATTTTAAACTTTCTCTTTTTTCCTGTTCTAGTCCCATTTCTTAAAGTTAACTGCTTTTAAATTTAATTTACATCTTTCCATAATTTTTATATGTGGTGTATATTTATTTTCTTTAGTGTTGGGAATTGGATGTATTATAGTTACTGCTCTACAGTTTTTTTATCCATTTAATATGTTGTTGGGATTTCTCCATAAAAATATATGTAGTATCAGTTTATTCATTTAGCCAAATTTTTGGTGTTTTGTGATTTGTACCCTATAGGTAAACTAATAAACTTTGGTAGAATACATTGCAACTGTTAAGAACATTAAATAGAAATGAGGACCTCACATGTAAATGCAGAAAGTTTTGGTATGTGTTACTTATTACAGTGAGAAACAGTATAGCATAATTTCTAGATGTTAGTATATGAACATTACTTTATAGCTTTCAGGGGCTTCTGTGAAACTTGTTTAGCCAGATGAGTACACTAGTGTTGTACAATGATGGAAGACATTTGCCCACCATGGGCAAAGTTCATTTGTGGTTCCGTGTGATTTTTAGATAACATTTGGGCCATAGCTCCAAAAGGTCAACAGTCTTAATGCCTTTCTTAGGATTATCTTCTGTAAAACACAAAATTCCAAGGCTGAGTTTTTTTATTTTATTTTTTATTTTGATATCATTAATGTACAATTACATGTGCAACATTATGGTTACTAGACTCCCCCCATTATCAAGTCCCCACCACATACCCCATTAGTGTCACTGTCCGTCAGCGTAGTAAGATGCTATAACATCACTACTTGTCTTCTGTGTTATGCTGCCTTCCCTGTGCCCCCCCCACCTTATGTTTGCTAATCGTAATGCCCCCTTATCCCTCCCTTTCCACCCATCCTCCCTAGTCCCTTTCCCTTTGGTAACTGTTAGTCCATTCTTGGGTTCTGTGAGTCTGCTGCTGTTTTGTTCCTTTAGTTTTTTTCTTCTTATACTCCACAGGTGAGTGAAATCATTTGATACTTGTCTTTCTCCACCTGGCTTATTTCACTAAGCATAATACCCTCAACAAGGCTGGGTTTTCTTAATCCTGCCTTTCATTATTGGTGCCTCAAATCATTCCATGAAGCTCATGAAGTTATTGGTACCCCCATAACTATTCCTAAGAAATGGTAGTGTGTAGACTTACCATACTAAATAAATAACTCTTGCCATATCAGACACTAGAGGCATACTTAATATGCCCATATTAAATTGCATACTTTATAAGCAAAATGCTATTACTCTAGCATCACAAGAACTATGGTATATGAAATAATAAATAGTTGAAGATGAAAATGATACTTGTAAATATTCATTAATATGATATTATAGCCTCACCTCCCTGTATTTTATTCATAGATATGACTTGGAATGAACAGGGAAAGGCTGAACTTCTCACAGATAACTTTTGTAATATATGTGGAGTGGTGCTACAGTTTGAATCACAAAGGATTTCACATTATGCGGTAAGTTAAAAACAATGGGCATAGAGTCTAAAGTAGATTTTTAAATGTAGCAGGTAAACTTCATATGTATCTTTTTTTATTCTTACGAGATTCCTGTGTAGTAGGTGGTACTATTTCCCTTTGAATGAATGAGGAGATAGGCGCACAGAGGGACAGTAATTTACTAGCTTAAGTTTGGGGAGTTCGGTTTTAAACTCAATCTTTTTGTCTCCAAAGCTTGTTTCCTTCACAGTATTCTGCCTCCCTTTGTATCTGTCAAGTCACTGTATCCTTCGTGTCCTTTTAGTAAATATAAGGGAGGTGTTATAAAGCTTGAGTAGGAAACTTTTAATGTGAATCAAGGTATATTACAGAACTCCAGAGTCCTTTTATAGTAAATGAAGACTATTAAAACAGAAAGAACCAGTCTTACGCTTGACTTAATCATATGTTCTTAGGCACAGAACCATAGAAGTCTAGAGCTGGAAGAGGAAATGTTTAATATCCTTACTCTTTTAGTTTATTGATTAGAAAATTGAGACAGTGAAGGATGGTTATTCTCCACAACTAGTCATTGGCTTGACTAAGCTTATTAAAAATTATTTCTTCTAACTTCATGTCCAGTGTTCTTCCCTTTCATTTGGAGTTGCCTCCCATTTCTACATCATATGATGAGCTATTGGATTTCTTTCATATCTGGTATCTGGGTTACCAAAAGTACTATACTTTTACTTAAATATAATACAATGCCAACTCTACTTTTTTAAACACTTATCTTGCTTTGCCCATTGCTAATCTTATTGGCAACTATATTTCAGTCCTTACGTTGATTGTGTTCAATTAGTATAATTACAGATAGGGCAATTGTATTGGCTGTGGATTGAGAGGACCTAGGTTCAAGTCTTAACTCCACCATTGTTGTGTTACCCTAGGCAAGGCATTTTACCTATATGAGCATGTTTCTTGAACCTGCAAAATGGGAGTGGCAAAATCTCTCTTACTAAACTTGTGAGAATTAAATGAAATCAAATATGTGAGAGTGCCTAGCATATCCTCAGACCCCATAGCTCAAAGATTTAGAGTTGATAAAGAGAGAAACAGATCAAGGGACTCTGATAACTAAAGTTAGAACCACTTGAATTTAAATTTGAAAAATGGCTTTTCATGGGCCTATGAAGCACTGTTCAGTGTAGAAAATATATACAAACATGAGAAAATCTAAGTCAGTCATAATTCTGTCATTTGTAAGTATCCATCACTTAACTTCTCTCATGCTCATATGATTCCAGTATGCTTTCTGAACACACACACCAAACAAACATACACAGTTCATCAAAAGAGAATTGTGTATGTGGTTTTTTTGTATGAGAATATATTCTTGACATTTTGTCCTATTATTACATCTTTTAATTTTCTATAATATTTTTAATAGCTATAAAACATTATATTATGTGATGTAGCAATTTTTAAAATTTTTAATTCAAATATAGTTGATATACAATATTATATTGGGTTTCAGGTATACAGTATAGTGATTTGATAACTATACATTACTAAGTGCTCACCATGATAAATATATTGCCAACTGTTAACGTACAAAGATATTACAGTGTTACTCACCATATTTCCTATGCTGTAATTTCATCCCTGTGATTAATATATTTTATAATTGGATGTCTGTGCCTCTTTATCCCCTTCACATATTTTGTCTGCACCTATTTGCCTCTTGATTGTATATCTCTACTAAATCTTTGAACTATGGTGTCTGAAGATGTGTTAGGTACTCTGACATACTTGATTTCACTTAATTCTCACAAGTTTAATAAGAGATTTTACCAACACCATTTTGCAGACAAACAAACAAAACAGAAATAGACTCAAACACAAAGAATAGACTGATGGGAAGTGAGTAGGGGAAAGGATAAAATAAATAGGTGTTATAGCATATTTTTTAATTTAAATTTCAGTGCCACCTGTAAGTTTGGTGCTTAGCTTGTTAAATCATCAAATCAAAACTATACTTGATTTTCCATATATTTGAAAGCATTTCCATACAAATATTCTACTTGAAAAAGTGATTTTTTTCTCTTATTTTACAGCTTGGTTAATACTCTCAGACTATCTCAACATAGTATTTATTATACATGTAAAATAAGACAGTACTGCAGAAGTTTTGAATTTTAGTGAGGTTGTACGCATTAATATTTCCCTTTCTATTTACACTTACATGTCTAAGAAGCCATTCTTTGCACTTTGTCATATAAATATTTCCTTCTATTTTCTTCTAATACATTTTAAAGTTTTCTTTCTTATGTTAAAGTGTTTAATCCATCTGGTAATGATTTCCACATACGGAGAGTGATAACATCACTTTTTTCATACAGATAGCCAGGTGTTCCAGCACTATTTATTTATTTGACAGTCCATCCTTGCCCCACTGATTTGTAGCGGCACCTCTATCATATGCTAATTTTCATATATACATGTTTATTTTGAGGCTATTATTCTGTTTTATTTGTATTGCTCTATTTGCCTGTCTGCAAAAGTTTCACCTCATTACTATAGCTTTAAAATAAGTCATGATATCTGGTGGGGAAAATTTATATGACAAGAAAATCATCATAAAATTAAAAGACAAATCACAGATTGAGTGTATTTATAATCCATATAATTAACACAGGATTACTGTCTAGAATATACAAAGGATTATATATGAATCACAACAAGAAACAACCTAACAGAAAAATAGGAAAGTGAAATGAACAGGCAGTAAAAGAGATACTCTGCTACACTAGTGCCCATACAGGAAATGCAAGTTAAAGTGATAATGAGCTATCTTATCAAAACCATTATGCTAGCTAAAATTAAAATCTAGTAAAACTTCAGGAGAATATAGGAAAACAGAAACATTCATATCTGCTGCATTTAGAGTTGTAAACTGCTTCAACATCTTTGGGAAAGAAATTTATGATACCTATTAAGTTGAAAATCCTCATACCTTATAAGCCAAGAATTTCACTTCTAGGTATCTACTTTAAAGACCCTGTTGGACATGTATATTAAGAGATATATTTATATATGTTCAGTGTAGAAATGCTTGTAATAGCAGAATAAACAGAAACATAACTGCCTTCAATAGGGGAAATGATGGGTAGTATATGAAGGAACTAGAGCTAAATGTATCAGTCTTAGAAATATAATATTGGATTATAAAAAGCAAGTTGAAAAAGGGTATGGATAGAATGATTCCATTTTCATAAAAAATTTTAAATGACAATAGTATATAATACTATTTATGAGCACCTGCATATGTAGTAAAAGAATAAAAGCATGAAGGGAATTATATAGACCAACTTTAAGATGGTGGTTATCTATGGGGAGAAGGGGAGGAGATTGTGGGCAGAAGGAGATAGGACTGTATATGTAAAATTTACTTCTTTTAAAAGGGAAATCTGAAAGAAATACAGCAAAATGTTAACATCTATTAAAACTAGATTAGGGGTATGGGCTTCAGCTATAAAATTTCCTGTGCTTTCCTATTTGATGTATATATTTCAGTTTAAAATCCTGTAGGAAGAGAGAGTGACTGCATCACAGTATGTGCTCAGGAATGTTAGTTTCCCTGCTACTTACACCAGCATTTGGTTATTCTTGTGTATTTTGTTATACATCTGTCCAGAGATTTTTCTAATATGCTTAACCTAGGAGGGTTAATTTCCTCACATAGAAGAATTTGAGAGGTAGGCAATGCAGGGCTGATAATGACAGCTCCATGACATCATCAGGGACTAGGCATTTTCTATCTTTCTCCTCTGGATCCCCCATACTCCCAGATGACAATTGTAACTATGACCTTTACCAGAAGCAGAAATGAAGAAAGTTAGAAAAAGGGCTTATTCCCCAACCTGTTAAGGAGGCTTCCTGAAAATTCTACCCAACACTTCAGATTACATCTTAATGGACAGAATGGTCACATCTTACTGAAAGGACGGCTGAAACATGCAGTCTTTTAGTTGGGTATATTACTTGTGTGTAACTAAGGAAGAATAAGAATTTGATATTGGACAGCAACTAGGAGTCTCTGTCAAAAACAGGAATCTAAAAGGTATTGACTGCTAAATTATAGTATTATTTTCATTTTGACTAGATTTATAAATTTCAAAGCATGTGAACCTCTTTCATAAACTTGGTACACACCAAATATACCACAACTGTTGTCCTCAGATTCAAATAAGTGTAAATTTGGGGGTGCCTCTGTTGTTGAATAAACAAAGTCATACTATACCTTTTTTCAGAGTGATAAACATGCTCAGAATATTAGGCTTTATTTTCAAATGTATGGGAAACAAAATGAAGTGCCTGGTAAGCAAATGAAGATGGATGTTGAGAATTTTCAGGTGAGTGGCCTATGTTGGTGTCATAATTCTAAACTTGTAGTTATTGAATCCTTCTAACAAGGTTGTACTTATTTCAGGTGCACAGGAGTGAAGTAGTGAACAGAAACAAATTTTGTGATCTCTGCAACATGATTTTTAGTTCCCCAGTTGTTGCTAAGTCTCATTATGTAGGGAAAGTCCATGCTAAAAAAATGAAGCAGTTAATGGAGGAACATGATCAGGTGTCTCCATCAGGATTTCAGCCAGAGTCAGAGATGGATAAGATTACATTTACCTCTTTAGTTTCAATAAAGGATTCCCTATCATTTTTTCCATTTCTCCTATCCATTTTTTAGCAGAGAGACTTTCAGTCTGGAGCGATAACTTGATTCATCTTCTGCCCAGTTAATCTCTTTCTGTGTCCTTGTCATTAAATATGGAGATTGTATTTGCTGGGTGAATTTTAGGAAATGTTATGACTTCCCCCTTTCAGTTTATTAAATCCAAATAAAAGAATGTGATTTGCTATGCAAAGAAACAACAATAAGCAACCTGAAGCTCTCCAGTTTCTGCATCAAATCATAAAATCTTAGCCCCTTCTTATTTCTCCTTGGCATCGATCTCATTCTTTTTTTGCTTTAGTACTTTCCAAAGCATGATTTCGTATGTGTATTCAGACCAGTGTCTTCACCATAATGTAATTACAGCACAGCATTTCCTGACTATAACTGTAGGCAAAAAAAGAAATAAGTTATGGAATCTCCTTCTACTCTGATAGCATATTTCTATTTTCCTATGAATGTAGAGAAAAAGAACTAATAGCATCATCAATAAGTAGTTATTGAGGACTTATTTTATGCTAGATCCCAAAGATACAGGGAAGTATAAAACATCACCTCTTTCCTCCTTCCACTGGTATTGGGCCACCAGTGCCTAAGAGATCTGACCCAAAGATCTCACTTCTGGCATGAGGGGGCAGAGTACACCCTGTGTTTTGAAGAATTGTGTGCTAGAACAAAAAATGAGGTATTAATCTTCTGGAATAAATAATTTACCACATTCTCATTAGTATCAACACTTTCAGAACAAGGCATGCCTGGCATGGAAATTTTACCTACGTTAATTTCCAACTCATAGTAGAGGCCTCATCCAGCATTAAAATGTATTGTTTTCTTAATGACGGAAACCAGAATTATTTTTAATTTTATTCTAGTCTCTCCAACTTTTGTGTATTTGTTTTTCTGCCCATCAGTCTAAAGTGGGATAGAATCAGAGTACTATACAAGAAGAGAAAGCATCTTGTAAAAGCCTTATCTTCAGTCTCCAAAATTCATCAGTTTGGGCTCAGAGAAGAGACTCCAGAATTCATCAGTTTGGGCTCAGAGAAGAGACTATATGAAAGAGGTCTGAAATAACTGTAATTGTGGAAATGTGTCATTTTATAATCTTAACTGCATGAATTTTATTTTGATACAAACATCACAAATCTGGACTGAATAGATGACTTAAACTGTGCTACTCAAGAAAGACATCAACTTAGAAGTTGGTACCATCTGTTTTGCCCTCACTAATTTCAAGAACCATCCTAAGACAGTGCTGATGCTTTTATTGATTTTTCTAATGAATGTGATTAGGCAATAACTGATGCAATTAGTCCTTCCTGTGTCTTTTTTTTTAATATCATTAATGTACAATTACTTGAACAACATTATGGTTATGAGACTCACCCTATTATCAAGTCCCCCCCCCCCCACATACACCATTACAGTCACTGTCCATCAGTGTAGTAAGATGCTATAGAATCATTACTTGTCTTCTCTGTGCTATACTGCCTTCCCCATGTCCCTCCCCATACAGTAAATGTGCTAATCATAAAGCCCCGTTTTCCCCCTTATCCCTTCCTTCCCACCCATCCTCCCTGGTCCCTTTCCCTTTGGTAACTGTTAGTCCATTCTTGGGTACTGTGAGTCTGTTGCTGTTTTGTTCCTTCAGTTTTTTCTTTGTTGTTATATTCCACAGATGAATGAAATTTGATACTTGTCTTTCTCCGCCTGGCTTATTTCACTGAGCATGATCCCCTCTAGCTCCATTCATGTTGCAAATGGTAAGATTTGTTTTCTTCTTATGGCTAAATAGTATTCCATTGTGTATATGTACCACCTCTTCTTTATCCATTCTTCTACTGATGGACCCTTAGGGTTGCTTCCATTTCTTAGCTATTGTAAATAGTGCTGCAATAAACATAGGGGTACATATATCTTTTTCAAACTGGGCTGCTGCATTCTTAAGGTAAATTCCTAAGAGTGGAATTCCTGGGTTAAATGGCATTTCCATTTTGAGTTTTTTGAGGAACCTCCATACTGCTTTCCACAATGGTCGAACTAGTTTACATTCCCACCATCAGTGTAGGAGGGTTCCCCTTTCTCCACAACCTCGCCAACATTTGTTGTTGTTTGTCTTTTGGATGTTGGCCATCCTAACTGCTGTGAGGTGGTACCTCATTGTGATTTTCATTTTCATTTCCCTGATGATTAGCAATGTGGAGCATCTTTTCATGTGCCTGTTAGCCATCTGAATTTCTTCTTTGGAGAAGTGTCTGTTCAGATCCTGTGCCCATTATTTTATTGGATTATTTGCTTTTTGTTTGTTGAGGTTTCCTGTATCTTTTTTTGGAGAAACTTGATGACAGACTTGTATTCAAACTTCCATTATCACAGAAGGAAATTCTTTTCAACCTGTGCGCCTTTTAAAAATCCAACAGCCCTGTGTGGGAAAAGCTCAAAGATAATGAGTTTTTAAAGAATACTAAACTTCCCTAATACTTTATAATGAATGCAGCCCTAATAGCTGACCACATGTTGATCTCCTCTCATTATAACTGTTTCAGCAGATATGCCTATTACTACTTCTGCAGAGTCAAATTTTCTGAAGGCCCTTGCCGTCAAGCCTCCTCCAGGTGGGATTAAAGACAAGAATATGCCTTCCTCTTCCAGCAGTGATTTGGATTTGAATAATCCAGACAAGTATTGCAAACTCTGTCCTGCTTCCTTTAATAGTCCATTAATGGCCCAACAACATTATATTGGCAAAAGACACAAAAGAAATGAAGCTAAGAAGTTTTTAGACAAGATAAGAGAGAATCCTCTTCCAGCAAAATCAGATACAAATGGTAAACAGTAAAAATATCCCAAAACTCTTTCATGGGAAGTTTTAATAAAACATATTGGTTTATGTATGTATCATTTACTCTTACTGCATAGGAGGTGGTGGTGCTCTTGGGGTCATAGAATTTTGCACAAGGAAAATTGACTCACTTTTGATGGACTTTAAAGTCCTTAGTTCTGTGTGTTGGTTTTCTAGTAAATGAGACCCAGAAAGGTTTAGATGATCCTTATTAATTACAGAATCAAACACAGGTATTCCCAAGGTTCTATGTTATATCATAGGTACATAAGGAAATACTTTAAATTAGTATCATGTGGTTATATCATTCAGTCACTAAGCTCAGCTTCAGTGTCTCTTGGGTACTAGGCTAGTCATTCTTGGGAATACAAATGAAGATATACTATTTTTCCCTCAGGAGCAAGTGCATAAACTAGTTGGGTTAATAACACTTCATTGCATAAGGCTACAGACAAGGATTTTTGTATACAAATTTTTGGAAAGCAGAGGAGAGGAAAACATCATAGTTGTGAAGAATCTTAAGAGAGGAAGCATATGGTTTAGATTGGTAGAAGTGGGAAAGAGAGATGATGAACAAAGGAGTTAAGAAAGTGGCAAGAATTCAGGCACAGTAAAGATTCTGATCCTGACTGGAGTGATCCGATTGCTCTTCTAACCATTTTTTTTTTTTCATTTTTCCCCCACAGGCACCTTCTCACTACTAGTGTATTTTATTCCCTCTCCATATTCTCTGTTCCCCTCACTTTTGCTCTACTCACTGTGATTTTTCAGTTTTTTCCTTACTAGACCTTTCTGCTTCCTGTGAAAGTGTTCATTACTCCCTCCTTCTTGAAGCTGTATTCTTTGTCACATGTAACTCCTTATGCTCTGGTTCTTCTCTTGTGTTTTTCTTTTCTGTTTTCTTTGGGGGCTCTTGTTTTAATTCATTACCTAAATGTAGGTATTCCCATGGTTCCATTCTTGACCTTAGTCTACAAACACGATCTAATCTCTTCCTTTGATATCATCTCTCATCTATGTGCTTATGAGCTTTCTGTCAAGCTTTAAACTCCTATATTCAAATGGCAACTACTGCTTCACCTGGATACCTCATAACCATTTCAAATCCACTCAGTCATTCAAAGTAGAAACTTGTAGTTAAATGTGAATCCCCCCCAACCCCATCTTCTTCACTTCCTATATCTAATGAAGCACCAAGTCGTGACTGTTTTATCTCCTGACTGTTACTATTCCTTTATCTTAAGCCCTGCTCTTCTCTCACTGGTTTAGGCCCTCAACATCTTTCCTAGAGCTTTGCTACTCAAACTTTGGTTTATGGCCAGCATCATTGGCATCACTTGGGATATTGTTAGTAAAAGAATCTCAGGCCTCACTGCAACCTACTGAATCAAAATATGCAGTTTGACATGATCACTAGTTGGTTTTGTACTCACAACATATTTTGAGAAGCATTGTTCTAGATTACTGGCACAACTTCCTAACTCTCTATGCCATCAGTTTTGTCTCCCCAAATGTACCCTCGATTTAATCACCTAAAGAGCACATCTTTCCATGTCATTTCTCTGCTTAAAAATCCTTATTTCTTTCCTAAGGATACAATCTAAGCTTGATAGCTCTTTACCATCTTGTCTCTGCCTACCTTCTCCAGGCTTATCTCCTGATACTTCCTGCCCTGATCTATGTGGGTTAGAACCTGCAAACTGCTTATGGTTTCCAGAAACTATTACCCTATTTCTTGTCTCTGTGCTCTTGTTTATGCTGCCATTTTGCCTGGAAAATATCTGTGTCTTTCTTCTCTTGGCTAACTCCTACTCACTCTTCAACATGCTACTTCCCTGGAAGCCTTTTCACCTCCTTCAAGGCTATCTGTGCTTCCTTAACCTGCAAATCTAATTATCTCTCTATATTTATCTCCCATTAGAGTGTAAAGCCTTTGGGGGAAGGGAATTGAGGTAGAAATTGACACAGAGTAGGCCTTCCTCAACAGAGATTAGTTTAATATATGAATCAATGAACTATTAAGCTTTATATATTGAGTGCTGACCCTGTGTTCTATTTAAGTTTCCTGCTTAATGTGATTCAACCTATCCCCAAAAGTTACATAGAAATCTGTTTTTATCTAGGATTTTAAAGAATGTTAATTTAGGCAAGTGTAGAACTAGAAGGTAGTAGACGTTTGGAGAAATAACAAACTTTTGCTTGTTAGGGTAGTTTTCCTATTGCTGGGCTGAGGGTATCTGAAATAAGTGGCTTCTAGTTTTATGGTATTAGGTAAAATTGGAACTGAGTCAGCTATAAGAAGTGTGTGCACCTATTCACTTCTGAAGGGAGGGTCATTTTTGCACTCTGAGGTTTCAGAGTTACTAGGATGACAGAAGGAATTTGCTGGTGAAATTTTCACCTGGCCAGGTAGGGGGCGCTGATCACCAGCATAATATAATCCAGTCACTGAAGTCATTTCACACTAGCCTCTGAAGCTAGAGCTCAAAGAAGGAATTTTCAACCCTGCCTTGACTATTCCATTTTAAGAACAGTAATCATTTGAGGATTAATAAGTGCCTGGATAATTTAAATTAGCTGAAGAGAATTTCAAAGAACAGTACCAGCAGAAGCCCATATTGTAAGTGAGCAAGCAGTAAGACAAAAACAACTTAACATGAGCCACCTTAACTATTTCATTCATCACCCATTTTCTTCTTTCTGTCTGTGCCTTCTTTTCTATCTGTTTAGTTTATATGTTTCTACTACATCTAATGTCTTTCTCCTTTGCTTCAACATTCTCACTGCTTTCTTCATGTTCCTCATCCAGCCCAGATCTTATTAGCACAGGAATGGCTACCATAATGATATGGAACCAAAGTATGTATGTATTTTTTATTTATTGTATTTTTTTGTTTATCTCACTAATTTCTAGTTCTGTTTTTGCACTTAGATATCTCACCTTCACCTGTAAGTCAACATACCTAAAATTGAATTGAGGATCTCAAGCCAACTTGATTTTTCCAAGTTTTATGTCTTTGCCGGTAGTACCACTACTTATTAGTCACTTACAATTGAATCTTTGAGGGCATCTTTGACTACTTAATTTCCCTGTATCCTCCCCATCAGCAAGTCTTATCATGTCTTCTTACAACTGTTTCTCTTTCCTGTACCCTTTCATTACATTTCCATTACCATCATCTCACACTTTAATGCTGTAACAACTTTCTGCAAGGCTTTACTTCTACTTAATTGTTATTCTCTCAATCCTTAGTAGCAAGATTTCAACCCTGGGTCAATCCCATAGTCCACCTTTTCTACTTTTACATTTAGGATACTTAGTGGTGCTATGGAAAATGATATAAAGCTAGAGATTGGATACCTGAGGAGAGTCTTGGTATCCAACCTCTATGGACTTTTAGTCCTACTCCTTTTCCTTTCTGTTCACTTACCTCTCAGCAATGATTTTTAAACCTACACCACTCTCCAAGACTCTCCTTCACTATTCTACACTCCTGTCTCACACCTTTCTGGCAAGCTTATCTCCCACATTCAAGCAGTTGCTAAGGTTTGCCAGTTTTAATGTTAAGTATTTCACCCATTTCCTGTCCTCTCTACCTCTACTGTGAGCTTTAGAGCCTATGTCCCCCTTATCTCTTGCTGGTCTAGTATATTTACCTAACTGTGGTCTCCTTACTTCTTGCTTCTCTCAAATTCATGCTCCATATTACAGCTAGAGGAGAGATGTCTCTAAAACACACCACTGACCATGGCAATACTTTAAGCACTTCAAGGTTTCCCAACAGAGAGAATAAAAAGTCTAATCTCCCTAGCATAATATATGTCTCTCTTTGATCTGACACCCTTTTGCCTCTCCCATTTCATCCCCTTATATTTTATTCTACAATTACAAATTTTAAGAAGTTCCTGTAAATACTTCTATGCCTTTTCATGCTATTTCCTGTGCCTACAATAGTCTTCTCAACTCTTTAATCAAGTTAGCTATTTTCCATCTTTCCAAGTTTAACTAAAGCATCATCTCTTCCAGTAGCTTCTTCAGAGCCCCATATTGTGCTAAGTGCCTCTGCTTCTTTGAGTTCCCATACTCCTTAAGCATACCTCTCTTACCTTTTACCAAATGAGATGGAAATCCTCTGTTCAAGTATCTGTTTCTCAGATTTGTGAGCAATCTGCATGATTAATATTGTACCCCTAACATCTAGCATGATGTTTGGTGCTGCATAGGTCCTCAGTGTTTATTGAGCAATTGTTTGAATCTAACACATGCCGATTTCTATCTTTGTCATATCTGATACTGTTTTCATTACCTGGAGTGCCCTTGTTGCTTTCCTTGCAATTCAAATCCTTTCATCCTCCAAGATCGATCACAACTTCTTTTACTGCTTTAGCTCTTGGTGTTCTCCCTTTCCTCTGATTTCTCATAGGCTTTACTATTCATTGATAAATGCATTAACTATAGCCTTTAACTGAATTAGCCTCCTTGAGACAAGGGATTATATTTTATGCTGCAATATCTTTCTCAGTGCTTTATATGGTAATGAGTGTATAGTTTTTCTCAATTAACATTTACTAATCATTTATTGGGAGACGTTGTGTAGAGATAAACAGAGATTTGGAAATGTTTCAAGTCAGTTACCCAGTTGTACCTCAGATTCCTCAGGTATAAAATGAAAAGAAGGCACTTTACAGGATTGGCAAGGGATGAAATGAAACAGTATATACAGTGCCCATCAAAGAATAGACCTTCAACAAATGTTAGTTTTTCCAAATGTTTTAGTCTCCTGTCATAATTTAAAAACAGGTAAATTGGACATTTTCTATTTTTTTCTTAAGCTAAATTCCACATTAAGTTCCATTTTTGCTTACGTAGCTCTTGATTGGCTTTACCCCATTTAAGATATTAGATCATTGGTTCTCACTCTTGACTACATATTAGAATCATATAGGGAACTTATAGAAATCCCAGTGCCCAGGCCACCCCTCAAATCAATTAAATTAGAATCCCTGAGACCTATACATTAGAGTTTTGTTTTCCTTTTAACTCCCCTAATGATTAGGATATAGAGCCAAGATTGAGAACCACAAGCAAGATTGAGACTGTAAAGACATGCACTTCCTCAATCTATGCTTTGGAAAGTAAGACCTTAGTTGTGGGTGTTATGAGATAGGGATGTGATTAGGAGAAAAATGGGCCCCTCAAGTGTTAGGTTATAGAAAATTCTGAAAGGTACCAGATGCAAAGAAGCTTGACTTTCTGGGTGAAATCAGAAACAAGGAATCCTAGCAAGGCTAAGGCAGAAAAACTGGATAGAGCCAAGGAGCAGACTCAGGTAGGAGAGTAGAGAATATAAGAAACATAGTGGAGGTAGGTTCCAGGAGGATTAGACCAGGAATTTTGATCTCGGGGACAATAAATAGGCTTCATATCTTCACAGAAGGGGGTTACACCATTTTTATATATTCCTTCCTGAGATGTCTATATTTTGGAAAAAGATAAGGAATATCAGTGTGTGAAAAAGACAATGCCTAAGGTAATAGTAATCAGACCACAGTTCTGGACCTGCCTCTGTATCTCTCATATGTGACTTGCAGCTCTTCCAAACTCCTATGTTACCTATATTATAATTTCTGATATAATTCATGAAGAATAAAGGGAGAACTGAGGATATATTGTATATAATACACTTTATAAGCACTAAAAAGATACATAAAATCTCTGAAATATAATGTGTTTATAATCATAATGAAGATCATTGGCTCAATAATCTAGGGCAGCAGTGTACAACAATGGCTGCACAGACATCTAGAATGTTTTCAAAAAGTAAGAAAGCCTGGTTCCACCCCTAGAGATTCTGATTTAATTGGTCTAATGTGGAGCTAAAATAACATGAATATTTTTATTTTTATTACTATTATTTTTTTTGGTATCATTAATCTACAATTACATGAAGGACATTATGTTTACTAGGCTCCCCCCTTCACCAAGTTCCCCCCGCATACCCCTTTCACAGTCACTGTCCATCAGCGAACATGAATATTTTTAAAGTTATCCACCTGGTTTTAGTGTGTAGCTAGTACTGAGAACCTCTAGTGTAGAGGAAACCAGTACTCCTGCTCATCTTGCATGACTCGGGTGCCCTCAAAATATACGATATTGGCCAAATGAATCTGAGCCTTAATTTCCACACCTGTTAAATAAGGATAGTAATGATTTCCTGAAAAGGGTTGTTTTAAGCATGCAGAGTCCTGGATTTAGTCTTTACCTTTGCAGGAAGTCCAGAATCTTCAGGGTTGATCATCCTCAAATCAGGAACCCATCAAATCACAGACAAACTTGCAAGAAACTGATAAATAACCAAGGAACTGGGAAGGTATTCCCTTAGTGTATTTCCCATATATTCTCTGATAATAATTACCTGGGGTATTGTTAAAATACAAATTACCTGCCCCAGAGATGGTGGAATCATGTTCTCCAGTTGAAGGGCTTGGGAATCTGTTATTTTTTAACACTCCAGGTGATCTCAGAGAAGTCTGAGAAATATTGCAGTTTAAGTTCATACATTTTCATTTTGGTATTGATTTACAATAGAAGATGTATGTATTTCCAGTTCCCAGGGCTTTTAAAAAATATCTGTCATCTACTGTATCCTCTTTTTGTAATCAAAGAATATGGGAAACCAAATTAGAATCAGAAAGTGACTTGGTGAGCATGAAATCAGAGCACAGGGAGGGAGGATAGTTTTGAGGAATCATTCATTCAGACTTGGGCATAACCTGTTGAGCTTTCCTTGGCACCCCCATAGAGTTTATGTCAGTAGTGAGCAGAGTCTTCATGTTCTTCGAGTCAGGATCTTTCTTTCCCCTTGGCAGTAGTCTCCTGTTTCTATGAATAATCTTGTTCAGACAAGGCCAATACACTTAGCAATGATTAATTTACCCTCATTTAAATGAGTAAGCTGCTGTGTGATTTAGAAGAAGATGACTTGCTGGATCCTAAAATCTCTGCAGCCACCAAATTATTGCCTCATCCTTAGGGTGGGACTATTTTTATATTTGGCTTATGAAATGTATTAGTTTGCTGCTTCTGACCACAGAGAAACTAGCAGGATAATGAGATTAAGAAAATAAAAATTAATTTATCCCCTGCTTCCAATTCTAGTACCTAAGAAGTAGAATAGAGAGGTAGCTGGTATACCTATTCTATAGTTCTTGACTCTGTTGAAGTGGTAACTAGTAGTTTTGCTTTAGAACTTTTCTTTCAGCCTTTATCCTGAGAGTGGGGCTCACTGAACCTCTCTCCTTTCTAAAATCTGTGGAATTTACCTTTGGTAAACTAATGCACTACAGTGATTTCAGGTACGAGAGTAAAAACTTGCTTTTGTATTTAATCTTTTTAAATGTTAGGGTTTTGGGAGAGGTGGAAAGAGAATTAAGAGCAAACAAAAAGAGGTTGGTTGGGGGATTAAGAGGCAAAGGTTGGTTGGGCATGCTAAATTTGAAGTGCCTGCTGCACTTCCATGTAGCAAGAATAGCAGGCAGACAACGGTTTTTTTAGGAAAGAGGTCAAGGCTAGAGAAGCAGTGTTGGTAGTGATAAGAATGATGGACTTTAAATCAGAGAGATGAGCTCTGAGAGGTTCGCTGTCTTAACTGGCTCTGTGACTTTCACCAAGTCATTTGACCACTCTGGGCCTTATCTCTTAATTTGGGAAAGTTCAAGTAGATGATCTCTAGTAAATTCCTGCCTAGCTATGTCACTCTAAGTGCATTCATATTGACTTCCTTAACTTGAACTTTCTGTGTTTTCAGCATTTGGTATGAGAACCTACGTTTGTCATACTTGTAATATCACCTTCACATCTTTATATATGTTCCAGTCCCACATGCAAGGACGTGAACATCAAATAAAGTAAGTATTTTTTGCCAAAATGCTTCTATGACACCAAGACCAGGGCTTCTGTCAAATATACTTGCATGTATTTCACAAACTTTCTAAGCACTCACTTCCCTGTGAGTTGATCCTGGCTATGGTTTGTGGTATTTGTAACATATTGCATGCTAGTAACACCCCCTGGGGATTTCCCTAGCCTTGATAGTATACTGGCAGAGCTGGCTAACTGGCACCCATCCTGATCAGACAGCACTGTCCTCCTTTGGAAAGATGCTAAAGGACCATTCTCAGGCTAACTATACAAATTCACGTAACCCTTGGAAATACAGCTTAATTCCAGAGATTCAGTGATCTGGTCATCATCCTTCCAGTGAGATGGAGTGGTTACAACTTCCAGTGAGGTGTCTTGCTGTTAGACAGACCTGGATTGAAATGCTAGATCTATTTTTCTACCAAATGTAGAACTTTCAACAGCTCTGATATAAAATGGTTATAATGAAGCATAAAAATGTGTGTAAGGTGCCTGGCCTGGCTCATAGTAGTACGTTCAATAAATGTTTATTCCATTCTCTCTTATTATTTTAAGTAGGAGAGGATTGAGTGGATAATTGGAGACTGAATAAGTCAGGTAGTGAGATAAAGGGGTACTAATCTATTGTATATTTGGTTTGTTACTTTTAAAATCAAAGCATAATATTTCTGTTAAATTATTTTAAATTATAAAGCATTTCTATAAAATATTTATACTATTGAGTCTGAACACTTAGGAGCTAAATTGCCTGATTCAGCAAACTAACTTTCATTTAGACTCTTTTAAAATTGTTCTAGAATAAATAGCCATCACATTTATAGATCTATACAAGTAACTGACTAATCAAGATTAAACCTTTAAAACAATGTGACATTCAGATTAGATCATCTTTGGAGCATTAAATATTGGTCTTTTCCCATGATGCTGTCCTGCACATTCCAATATGCCTTACATTTTAAGTATTACAGCAATAACAGCTATGTTTATACCTTTGTACCCATCTTCCTTTTTGCACCAGTCCTGAAAATTTTTGTGAATGTAAAAAGTTGTGAAATTCCTGAGAGATAATATCTCTGCTGCTGCTTTTTGTCATAAAACATCATGATTTATAGCTTTTATATTGAGGTAGGTTTTTTAAACTTGGGCTTTTTTTGTTTTTTCAGACTGATATTTTTGAAAACAAAGAAAATACTCAAAATAAAATAATTTAGTAACAAGAACTTTCTACTTCTTTGCAGAGAATCCATTGTTTTCAGTCTAGTGAAGGATTCAAAGAAAACACAAGACTCTTGCCAAGATGAATGTGCAGATTACATCAAGGTGCAGAAAGCCAGAGGACCAGAGCCTAAGACTTGTTTCAGAAAGATGGAAGAGAGTTCTTTAGACACCCGTGGGTACAGAAAAGTGGTCAATTCCAGATCCAGACATAGAATGTTTGAACAAATATTTCCAAGTGATACTTTATGGACATACCCAGAATCATACAATATTACACAAACAGTGAAAAAACATTGCTTACCAGCTCATTCAAAGAAAACATATGACTCTTTCCAAGATGAAGTGGAAGATTACATCAAAGTGCAGAAACCCAGAGGGCTTGATCCAAAGACTTGTTTCAGAAAGCTAGGAGATAACTCTGTGGAAATTCATAGGTACAGAGAAGTTGATTCTGGACGCAGACAAAGAATGTTTGAGGAAAGATTTTCATTTTGAACTTCCCAGACCGACCAACAACAATACAGTATTTCACCCAGAAAGCCAGTTACATCATTGGTTACCAACTCATTCAAAGAGAACATATGACTCTTTCCAAGATGAACTTGCAGATTACATCCAAGTGCAGAAAGCCAGAGGACTAGAGCCAAAGACTTGTTTCAGAAACAGAAGCAATAGTTCTATGGAAACCCATAAGTGCAGAGAAATGGTTGATTCCAGACCCAGACATAGAATGATTGAGCCAGGGCTCCCATTTGAGATTTCCCAGACCTATCCAGCATCATACAATATTTCACAAGCAGTGGAAAACCAGTTACCTCATTGTTCACCAGCTCATGACAGCAAACAGAAACTAGACTCTGTGACCTACTGTCAACCCACCAGAGACTATTTCCTAGAAAAACCAGTACCCCTGAGCCTTAGTCAGCAAGAAAGTAATTCTGGCCCATACAGTGTAGAATCTGAAGTTTACAAGCACCTCTCCTCAGAAAAGAATACCAGTGACCATCAGGCAGGTCATAAACAGAGACATCAGAAGAGAAGGCGGCACCTGGAGGAAGGGGGAAAAAGACCAGAGAAAGAGCAGTCCAAGCATAAAAGGAAAAAGAGTTATGAAGATACGGATCTAGACAAGGACAAGAGTATCCGCCAAAAGAAAAGACAGGGAGGTAAAGTCAGTGTCAGTGCAGGAAAGCTTAAGCATCAAAAGAAGAAAGAAAGCCATGGTGTACCCTCTGAGAAAGAAGAACTGTGATATTTTCAAAATAAGTAGATAAGCACAGGAAACAGAAAAAGAAATTTGTTGAAGTAAAAACAGAAGAGGAAATGCTTTGGGATGAATCTATTCTTGGATTTTGAACTTTCACTTTTGTTTCCCTGAGGATAAATTGAAGAAATTGGTTAAGAGTATGTATTTCAACAAAGCCAGGGACATCCAATGAAGAACAGGAGAGGTGGTTTCAGTCACTGCCAGTTCAGGAAAGCTAAGTTCCTGTGTGTGCGTAAAAATTGAAATTGAATTGAAAGAAAAAACGAACTTAAACCTAGCCTCTGAGAAAGAAGAACATAAGAACACAACAAGAACAAATTGCTGATAGTGAATTATTTTAAATGAGAGAATTACCAGACATTAAAGAACCCATTCCTGATTTGGGTTTGTGTTAGTGTTGATGGTATTTTATTATTGTTGTGTGTTTGTTTCTTGGTTTTCTCCAAGGAAAATGTATGAAGTGAATTAGACTGATTTTTTGCTTGTTTATTAAGTCTAATTTGCAGTGTATTTTTGTATTTTCTAGTTCTGAAAGTGGAAAATGAAACAGCCTTATAATATAAGCTTAGATGATATATAGTTTTAAAAACCTCTCAAAAAGTACTGATACAAAATCAGTCTATATTCTGGAAATGTTTATATTATATTAAAGTGTTTTAATTTCTATATATTATCTTATGTAAGTGATCATTTCCCAGTCAAAGGTGATTTTAGTTTGGGGGTAAGAGGGAAAATAATGAAACATTTTTCACCTATAGTTGGGGAGGTCACACTGTAAAGGTGTAATCATTTCATTTCTTCCACATCTTGTTTAGTAGAAGCTGATATTCAGACTTGAGCTGTTTTAAGTTGAAAAATACAACCAATGAAATACTTGAAATTAAAAAAGGAAGAACTTATAAGAGGGAGAGAGCTGTGAGGATGCATTTCCTTTAAATTGTTTCATCGTGATTATTTTTTTGACTCTGGTGCTCCCTTCTTTATGGTAAGAACCTCCTGTAAGCATTTGAGCATCACCATGGTATTAGTAGAAAGAGTAATAACCTGGGAATCCAAATCCCAGGGTTTTGGTCTCAATTGTACCATCAAGTTGCTGTGTGACCTTGTGCGAATACCATCATAATCCAACATGAAACCATCAGAAATAGGAAAAATAGGCTATAGTATCCCCTTGCTGTGTTAATCTTATCAAAAAAGTAAATAAGTTTAGATGGTGGTGTATCTGCACTTAGGTGAGGCATTTAGTAGTTGTTTTTTTTCCCTTGAGATTTGAGTAAAATGGTAAATTTGAGCTGAAGCTCATAGTAATGATCATAGTAGTAATCAGTTGGGTTTATCTGTGGTTGAATGAATAGTCTAAAATGGAGTTAGGTGATCCCCAAATTATACTTTTCTTCCGAAAAACTGTTGATATAAGATTATTTAGTGCTACAATAGTACTTTTCCTCTTTGTATGCTGGTGAAAGGAGAGGGTAAAGAAGAACTAGAATAGAGCAAATAGACTTTCAATTAGCCACAAAAAAACGGCAAATTCTCTTCTGAACATGCCCCCCACCAACAAAATGCAGCATTTTTTTTTCACAGAAAGTGTGAGATAAAATCAATTATAAGCATTTTTAGAATTTATAAATTATTTTGCAGAACTCCATTTTGAGTTTAAGGCTATATTCAAAACTATATATCATGAGAATGTTCACTAACATACCAAATAACTGTGATATTTTCAAAATAAGTAGATAAATGAGTCATTAACATTAACTGCACACAGTTTTAACCAATAATGGGTAAATCATGCACAGTTTAAATATAAATATTAAAACCATTAAAATTGGGTGGCGTGGCAAGTTGGGGGATGGAAAAAGCTGTGGTGTTGATTGCCTTCTTGGGGAAATCACCAGTGACTTGCTCTAGAAAGTGGCTTTGAAAATTTTAGGACAAAACTTTTTGCCAAAAATAAACTGCATTAACCTCACCATAAAATCTTCTTTTAACCAGAAAGCATTATTTTCTAGTTGAAGCTGCAGGCAAAGACCTGGAGCCCAACTTTGGCATATTTGCTTTGCCCCCAACTTCTGCCTCTGAGCACTTGGAGGTAAGAGCATAAGTCAATATATTCAACTATATATGCAGGATCCAAAATTATTTCCACTTCTGGAATTGCGTGCTGAATCTAGTAAGATGAAATTTAATAGTATAAATATTAAACACTATGTGAAAGTTAACACAAAAATATTAAAACTTGGCTATGGAAGATAACACAAAATCATTTCAGGAGACATAGTTTAAGATAGTACATGCTAAAACAATGTTGGAGTTTTATTAAATGCTTGGTTTGAAAGACTAATATGCTCATCCAGACATACAATCGCATAAGATCTAAGGCAAATTACCAAAGTCAGTATTCAGACAAGTAAATTAATAACACCTAGCTTTATATGTATATCCTCAGCTGAATAGAAGACAGAGGGAGGCACATTATGGCTGAATTTGGAAAATAATTTTCAATAATTGGAACTATAGAAAAAATTAAATTGACAGCCTTATTACATGCATACATTGAATGAATGGTGAGAGGTGACTGTCAGCACTGAGCCAGGAAGGAACCTGATAAAAAATGAATGACATAGGTTCTGTTCAATAAACAGCTCACAATCTAACAGGGAAAATAGACCAATAAAAAGAAAATTGTAACAAGTTTGATAAAGGCTACAAAAGGAGTGATGAAGGATGCAGTGTGTAGCAAAGGCAACAAGCTTAATGGGGTGAAAAGTGCATTGAAGAGAGGCTTCCCACAACCTAAGTGTCCATCTGTAGATGAATGGATAAAGAAGATGTGGTACATATATGCAATGGAGTACTATTCAGCCATAAGAAAGAAACAAATCCTACCATTTGCAACAACATGGATGGAACTGGAGGACATTATGCTCAGTGAAATAAGCCAGATAGAGAAAGACAAATGCCAAATGATTTCCCTCATTTGTGGAGTATATAACAATGAAGCAAATCTGAAGGAACAAAATGGCAGCAGACTCAGAGACTCCAAGAATGAATTAGTGGTTACCAAAGGGGAGGGGTATGGGAGGGCAGGTGGGGAGGGAGGGAGAAGGAGACTGAGGGGTATTATGTTTAGTACACATGGTATGGGGGATCACGGGGAGAACAGTATAGCACAGAGATGATACATAGTGGATCTGTGGCATCTTACTACACTGATGGACAGTGACTGCATTGGGGTATGGGTGGGGACTTGATAATATGGGTAAATGTAGTAACCACATTGTTTTTCCATGAGAAACCTTCATAAGAGTGTATATCAATCATACCTTAATAAAAAAATTTTTAAAAAAAAGAAAGAATGGCTTCCCAAAGAAAGTGATATCTAAGACCTTTTCCTCTCAGTTCAAAGGCATTTCTCTGATATATCCACTTGGCTATCTAGTAAGTACTATAACTAAGTAACTTACTATAGCCAGAGTGACTGCTACTGCCATTACCAATCATTCATCTCTCAGTTTCCCTCATTTCTGTAAAATCGTCATCCACTTACTCAAGCCAAAAACCATTTTTGAGTACCTCTTCATTCCTACATTAGACCATAAGCAATTCCCCTTGATCATATCACCAAAATATCTTATAATGGCCAATTCTCTTCACTGCTACCACTCTAATGTGACACATCAGTATTTCTTTATCAAACTAGGAAAACAGGTTTGAGAGCAACTGAAACACCAGAAGTTATCACAGGTTCTGTACTACAGGCGAAAGGAAAAAACTGCACAGAAAAAAGCAGGAGATCAAAGAGTGCTGTGGCGAACTCAGCCCTTGAGGATTTCAGAAATATCCAGCATAGTGTTTATTTCAGAAGAAAAAACCCACGTACAAAAAAAAAAACCACACAGAAAACTGCTATTTCCAGAAATCAAATTGAACAGGGCAGAAACATTGTGTGTAAGGGAAAGGGGGAAGTTCAGATAGTAGTGAATGAGGGAAGAATCTAGAGAAAGCAGATCCCAGGCAGTAGTATGATAGCAAAATAAACTTCAAAAGGTGAGAGTAGCACCTTTGAAGGCAAGACCTGTAGGATGTGAAAAATGCAGACACAAAGTAAATGGAGGCTCTAACCTAACCTAGTATTTCAAAATGAACTGAAAGGAAAAAAAAAACATTTCTGAGAGCTTTGAAACAGCATAAATCAGAGAGAGAACCCAGAAATAGACAACAGAAAGATGTGAAACAAAAACTGTTAGAACTAAGGAAATAATTATAAAAAGAAGTTCATAATTGAAGATTAAATTGGAAGGAATGCAAGAGAGAGGAGACACTATGGTAAAGACTGTGAAGGAAACAATAGGAAAAAGGGAAAAAGGCAAATTTTAAAAAAATATATAGATTGATACATTAAAGACAGCAAATTGTGATAAAATTAAATTTGCTGTAACGGATGTTGTGTTGTGCTGCTCAGAACTACCCCTTACCCCTGCCACACCTTTTCAGGACAGAGGCACTCATTTCACCAATTTCTGGGGAATCGGCCTTGAAGGGAGCTGCCTCTCCTAAAGTCATGCCCTCTCATGGGGGCAGCCTGCATCCATTGATGGTATAATGTAGGTATACAAAGGCCAAGCCTTATGTTTCAATTTGGGGCAATTCTTAAAAGGCCATCTTACTTCCAGAGCTCCTCATGGGATCAGCCTGAGGCCTTTTTTGTAACTGTATCACACAGTTCAATTTGTTTGCAAATAATCCTGCTTTCCTCACTTCCTGACAAGTCTCTTTTGAACATGCTCCTACAAATTACCTACAAAGCTCATGTTTTTCTTTTCCAGAGCTGATAGAGCATTTACGAGGTTGAGTAGAGTAGGGCTCATTCCCATTCCAGAAAAAGAAAAATCCTAGCCTGTTATATTTTCACAACTCACATCCAGTGAAGTCATGAGGTGATTACTAAGGCTTTCCCTGAATTCACTTCTGTGTAGTATCTCTTATTCAGTAATAGCTGACAGCAACCTACCAGGTGCCCAGGTAGCTTACAGTGAGTGCAACAGGAGGAGAAAAAACCCTACAAATTATGGGGAGATGACATGGA